CGTGCGAACGCGCGACCGCTGGCTAAACTCGACGGCATCTGTCTACAAGAGGCGTCTCGCGCATGCGTAATGGATCGCGCGCGTAAACGCATCCCGCACGTGCCAATTCCATCTGTGCGCCGGGCGCACGGCTAGATGCACCTCGTGTCTACGCCTAGCACGTATTTATATCGCGTGTAAGACGGTGCATTAGGTGCAATAGCAATCTCAAGCAGAGTCGGTTCAAGAGCCTGCACCGAACGAACGAGCGAGCGAGCGAGCGAGCGAGCAAGCGAACGGCAGCGGGACGAATGAATGGGCGAAAGTTCTTTCCTCCTCTTTCCTCTTCGGGGGAGTCCCCTGGTTCTCGCAGGCTCTCCTCGTGGCTGCTCTTTGTCCCTCCGTTAGCCAGCCTCGCCGGCTCGTCACGCGCGAAAAGTGGCTCATCCGCTTTTACTTTCCACGACAGCTTTCGTTGGCAATGGTACTAGTTACGGCTGTTACGTTAAGCGGTTACGAGAGAGAGAGACGTAAACGTTTCTTGTCGGTTAAACTCGCTCGCTCGCAGAAGTAAGCCAACTCTCTCTCCTCTCACTCTCCCTCTTTGTTCCTGCTTCTCATCCGTGCCGCTACCGCTCTCGCTTTCGTTCGACGAGCTACGTCAGGGGCGATACGTAACTCACAGTTAGCTCTTACCGAACCGCGTGTTCCAACTATTTTTCGAATATTTCGATATTTCGTGCGTGGAAGATTCTTACTGTTCCGAGTGTGCTCGATCGGAGACGAGCGCGGATTGTTTATGGCAGAGATGGGTGGAAACCCTATGCTTCGAATAAATCTGAAGTTTGCCGATGCGTTTGTCTCGTTTTCTCTTTTGAATACTTTCGAAAGAAGGAAACGAGACAAACATATCGGCAAACTTCAGATTTATTCGAAGCCTAGGGGTTTGCCCAAGATAGTCAGCAGTAGAAACGTGAATTTCGTAGACTACTACGTAGACTACACTTGCAGGTGGACTATTAGACCCAGGAACTAGATATCGTATACAGAGATGGGCAAAACTGTAGGTTTCGAATAAATCTGAAGTTTGCCGATGTGTTTGTCTCGTTTTTTTTCTATGGAAAATGTTCAAAAGAAGAAATAGACAAACTAGACTAGGGGTAACAAGACTAGGGGTTTACCCATCACTGGTTTCTGGTAACTTTATCGCAACCAGGATACAGAAGGATGGCTCGAGCAATGAATATTATATTATCTATCCGTCTTTTCTGCCCGAGAAGTAATCAAGACAAATTGTTCAATGAAAAATCGGACTGTTTTATAACACATTCACTGGCAGACTAAAACTCTTGAAAATTTCTACCGTGTTCAAATTTTGTTTACAGACTATTGGAAGCTGCGTAATAAATCATTTATTTTGGTATTTAGTTCTGTAACTTCATCAAAATTCAAGTATTTCGTTTAAATTCATTTTCTGTGACACTTAACACCATATATATAAGCGACGTGGCGATCACCGTGTTAAAAAGGGAATCGAACCACTGGCGTAATGGAACCTTTACGCTGGAAAACATCGATTAGTATTCAAGATTTCTTTGATAAATAAATTTTGATAAAATTTTAATTACCTTTCGCTCCCCGTAATATTTGGTCTACTTCATTCCCGGACCTTTTTACCGAGATAATTTCGCCCGTTTCTGATTAAGAACCACTGGAGCTACGTGTAATGCGCCCACGGGTTTGTTTTTCGCGTCTGCGATCTTCGCCGCTCCTCTCCCGGCCAGAAACTCATTTCGTCAAAGCCCGTTCGGTGGTGCAGTTCCTTCGTCGTTTCTTTTAGTTACGTAGTCGTGACGAAGCGGCGAAAGACCCACTCTCGCGTGAAACTCGAAGTGCACACGGTCGCGCGTAGAAAAACCGCCGAGCGTTTTTTCGATCGCGTGGACGCGTTTCTTCGTTTACCGAGCACGCCGCGCCTCGGTCGGCGATTCGACAATTAGGTTAATAAAGACAGAGGGGAAAATGCAATTCGCGTTGTCCGTTTCATTCCATTCCAGTGTTTTATGTATCGCGCGTCTTCGATTCGATAAAATCCAAATTGGATGAGGGTTTCGGGTCTAGCGATAAATAATCCTCCTTATTGCGAGAAATAATTTGGAATTTGTAAGCAAAAAATGTAAATGGCTTCCGTAATTTTCGTAAAATGAACCGTTACAGGTTTCCACAAACAGAATTACCCGGCGCGTGTTCTTTTCGCGAACGCAACGACGGATTACGTCGAGGAAAGTAATATGATTCATAAGACAGATAAAAGTAAATTTATCGGTTGCGTTACGAATACCAGCCGATAAAATTAATTATAACGGCGAAGCGTTGGTAACGAAATCGGCGCGCATTGTACAGGCTCACTGGCGACCGTGCTTAAAACTGATACAAATAAATACGTTTGTTATCGAATCCGTTACCTTGGTCAGTTATCGACAGATATACGGATATACACGTAAGCTCGATGATTCGAGTCAAAGTCAGTCGCCAGAATTAATTTGGAACTCCTGAAGTCATCGATTATTTCCCAGAAACGATCGAAATCTAGATTTACAATCAGTGTAATAAGTATTCGTACAAGATTTGTACGAGAAATAAATTTCAAATAAATAATTAACCAACATTTCTACATATTTTTAGAGTAGATTTTGTGTAAATTCAAATTTGTTACTTTTGATGTTGACCTTTTATTTATTTTCTTATCAGTTTTATTTTAAATTGGTTGCTGTACTTCTTACACCGATTGTAGATAAAAAAAAAGAAATCGAGTAATGATCGAACGATCCACACAGCTTCTGACTTGCTGCTTGCTCGATACAGTTCCAATTCCGTATAACTAACCTTTTAGATATAAATTAATAGACTGCGGATCTTTGCCCATTTATAGGAAACTTGAATGCACAAGAAACTACAAAATACAAACAACATGCAAGAATATCATTAAAGTAAAGTTCGTGTTGTGATATTTGCAGAATAAAATAAATTCCTATTTAGGTAGAATTTTTGTGGGCACGTTCGCGAACATTTTATTTGGCATAAAGATCCGCAGTCTACAAATTAATAACGATCAATTTTGATTAATATCGGGGAAAAGAATACGATTTCAAGTAAAAGCTTATTATTATGTCATCGGAACGAAGGTTACCGGGTCCCCGAATTTTTTAATGCGTCGAAACCCCGCGAAAATTTGACCAGGAGGGGCAGGAACGATTATTCTATGGAGGTCAAGTTGAAGAGTTCGAACTGTCGAGGAAGGACGGTGGCCAGAACGTGAGGTCAGCCGTGTGTCATTGTTACTCGTTATTTTTAGCGTGTTAGGGCGGCATTTTTACCGTGTCTCATTATTATCGACTTCGTAGTTAGGATATCGGGTGAACGATAACGTTGACTGCGAATCAAATGTGCTAACGATGCGACTCTGTTGTAAAAAGTAATATTGTCAATAAACAAGGAAAAATAAAAACCGATAAACGACAAAAATAGACTTGCACGTAAATAGTCTCGCAAATAGTCTCGTAAATAGTCTCGTAAATATTCGTGACTTCTATGGTCCGTTGAAGTAATTTCACTAAATTGAACACGATACGTTTGATGTTACATTTGCGAAGTTCATTCATGCGCATACTTGTAACGAAGCATTTGGGAATAAAAAAACCTATCGTTTAATTTAGATAATTTGTAGAATAGGCATAGAGGGGTACGAATACTTAGAGGACTAATTTTAATATAAAAGCAAACGTACGTGTCAATATCTCCCAACTAAAATACTCGTCTTTCTGACAGATCTTGACATAGGAATTAAAATTCGTCAACAGATACGGTTCCGAAACGGCGAAGAAAGCGTCTCAAGGTGGGTCTGGAGGCCAGTACGGGGGAGGAAGAGCAACGCGACGCCTTGAATCTTTCGCCGGGCATAATTGTGCGTTTAATAAGCGCTTTATCAAAGGCGATAATACAGACGATAACAGTATGTAGGTCAGTTTGATACGAGTGACCTGATTCCTGGCTTGGCACCGCGTTACCAGCGCTGGTAGATCCGCATGCGTGCCACCGGCGTACTACAATTTTCTATACGTGTACTTGCGGACCGTAATTCCGAGCTTCTCGTACCCACGTGCAACCGCGACCACCTACACACGCGTTCACGCTCGCGCCCGTGCCCGACGCGCGCGTGTCCCGTCGAGAAAATCCGTCGAACGAAGAAGGCATCGCGGTGCCGATTGCGTGTAAACACGCGGCGCTGGCTACTTTCAACCGAGCCATTCTCACGACGCAGCTTTGAACTTCTTAGAAACCGAGATGGCTATTCTCGCGCAACTGGAATTTCATTCCCAGCAATTATCGAGAAACTACCAACGGTCATTGACGATTTTTATCCGAGACGCAAACTCTGTACAGGGCGTTCCGTTTATCGCGAGCGTCCTGTATGATCCAATTTTTTAACCCTTTGCACTCGAGAGGTGACACGGTCAATAATGTTTCTTTAATCATCTTCGAACTCGATCTAAGTTTAGCATTCGCGGCGCTAGAACGCTAAGAAATCGTCTCGAATTGCTGGTAGATACCAGAAGAAAAGGCCTCGAGTGCAAAGGGTTAATAGGCAGAGATGGGCAAAACCCTAGGCTTCGAATAAATCTGAAATTTGCCGATGTGTTCGTCTCGTTTCCTCTTTTCAACATTTTCCAAAGAAGGAAACGAGACAAACATATCGGCAAACTTCAGATTTATTCGAAGGGTTTCGGTTCCTAGGGTTTTGCCCATCACTGTTAATAGGAAATAATTTCTTCGAGAAGCTTCTCCATTATTAAACGTCTGCTAGATATCGCATCAACGAATGAACGTTAACGAACGATTACGTTCTACGCTTGTTTCTCTGCGCTGTGTTCGTATACTTTCCCTCGAATACTATGTTTTTATATAAATGAGAATAGATGAAAATGTGTGAAATGACCTGATAACGGTGGTTGAAGATCGCAGGTATAACGGGCCTGTCCACGAGCCAGCAGAGGCGCCCGAAGAGCTTCCCCCACTCTGCTGCCACTAGGCTGCGCGTTCAACGACGACGCACATGCCCCGATCTGCTCTCCTCTACGCTCTCCACTACACTGACGTCTTTCTCTCTCGACTACGCCGCGTAAAGGGAAAAGAGGGGGCTGCGTGGAAGGGGAAGGAGCCGCGCGATGGGCTCCACCCGTGGATATGGCTGTTCTACGCCGCATTTTGGCGTTTTGGGACCTGCAAAACGGCGCCAGGACTCTCTGAAGAAACGGAATAGTAATAATTACAGAAAGAATACTTTGTTAACGTACCCGTATCTACTCGCGATGTAAAATCTGACTGAGAAACGCCCTTTAAATATTCTTTCGTTTTAAAAGAATCCGATTCTGTATTTCAAGATTCTGAATCTTAAGAATCATGTTCGATTCCCCTTTTTCAAAAACTGTCCCAACACACACGATCTCCGCGCAACGAAGGCGTATTATTATAGCCATTGTCGTTGCCATTATCGCTATTTATATATCGCCATTCTAGAGTAACGGTAAGAATTTGTACTCATTCGAGCGAAAATTGTTACCACGGAAAACCGTAAAAAATAACCGGGAAACTGTCAAAGGACTTTTTAAAGGCAGAAAAGCGAGACCTAAATACCTCGTTTGAAACAATTCGTTTCTTTTTCTTTTTTCTAGACCGTGTCGTGGCACGAGAACACGCTGTGTACGCGTTCAACGTTGGTAATATCTTCCCTAGAATGTCTAAGCAAAGTCGTTTCAGTCAGTCAAGTCCCCTAATTATTTTAAGCAGCTCGCGTAGCTTCGCGACAAGCCACAACGCGAAGCGTACGTCGATATAGCTCGCTCGACGGACGTCGAGGGGGAACGGAAATTTAAAAACTCGTCAACTTGAATGCGGTTCGACGAAATTTAAATATTATCTCACGTCCCATATATTGAACACCTCATTAGAATATATGCGGACATATTATACACACATACCTTCGCGTTACGCTCATTTCGCATTCACGCCGCGCGTTAAGACGTTGTAAGTTACTGTTGCAATTACACACCGCGTCACACACGGCCGGGTCATTATCCACGATATTGTGGTAATCAATCATTACGAAAGCAATTCGCAAAATTCGCGTACGTACGAAAGCGTAAACGGATCCTAGGATAGTTCGCGCGTGCACTTTTGTTTATCCTAGCTGATAATGGAAACGATCGCGTGCAGGAATCGTCGTCGTCGTCGCATTTCCGTGAAATTAAGAGGACGGTGGGAAAGGAAGGACGTGCTCGACTCGACGACCATCCTACACGTGAGTCGATCGAAGGGCTCTTCGAATTTTAATAAACGACGAAAAACCGGTGTTGACTCCGAAAGCATGTATTCCCTCTCGTTCTAATTTTTATTTCATTCTTTAGGATAGGATCATGCAATGTCCCCATTATATTACTATTACTATTGACGTGGGAACTCCTTGGAACAGAAATTATGATACAAACGTACAGAGGAAAAATAATAAAAGAAACAAAGTTACGATAGTAAGGAAAAAGAATGGATTTAAGGGGACTGAAATAGCGAAAGAAACGATAATTTGTCTGTTGTAAAGTGTATAGTTGTCCTATATACACGTCCCCCCCCCCCCCATCTCTGTGTTCTCCCAAAGGTTTTTTTTTTTTTTACCAGCGCGACACGCGTGCGATGCTTTCGTCATGCAACCGAGACACAAAGTGCAGCACGCCAACCAGAATTAATTCGCTTGACCCATTTACCCGATGCACTTGGACCACCTTGTACTACCGGTATCGATGTGTGTTAAAAGTGTGGCGACGAGTACAGTGACGCGTGCGCGAACGTCTTTACGTTAAGGTTTCGTCCGACGGGGCGACGCGAACGGCCAGTTTCGTCGTTCGAAAATATTCAGTGACCGAAACGAGCCGATCGCGACGATCCCTCGCTTAAAGATACAAAATCGAAATCGTCAAGTGCCTTTAACACGTTCACTGCCAGCTAATACTCTTGAACATTTCTACCGCGTTTAAATTTTGTTTACAGATTTTTGGAGACTGCGTAATGAAACATTTATTTTGATATTTAGTTCTGTAACTTTATCAAAATTCAAGTATTTCGTTTAGATTCATTTCCTATGACACTTCACTTTCAGAATTAATAGTTTTCGTTTTTCAGTGAAAAGCACTGTCGCCCATACGTGGGTGACGTGGCGAATCAACGTGTTAATACGAAGGGTGGAGGGTTCGAATCGTCAACGATATTACGTCCGTGAACGTAAGGACGTGCTGGAGGACGCCATTTTGTATAAGAAATCGACTCGCAAAGAAAGTACAAATATTTGGGTACTCCACAAACAAAGTATTCTTGCGTACCATGGGTCTCAAAAACTACTCGAAACGCGCAGTTCCGCTGCAGTTAACGCTAAAACTGCCAACGCTCAACCGATGGCCCTTGTGCGTAGTGCTATATCATCGAAAATAGAGTGGAAGGGTAAAATCGATCGATCGATATATCCCGAATTCCGTTCCAATCATTTTCGCTGTAAACTGCAGCGAAAATACTGTCGCTGCTCGAGTAATTTCAAAAAAAAAAAAAAAAAAGGAAAGGAAAAAAAAGGAAAGAAAAAAGTCGAAAGTATCGTACGCGGATGAAATTAACCGCTATTTTCCCCTTGCGACTGATGCATCCTCTTAAGTGCATCAACAGCGATGGTATAGCAATAGCAACGGGGTAATCGACGAGCGATACGTATGTAGAAACGCGTCCGAGGGAAGAGCGGGCGTCGAGGAACATCGAACAATGACGAAGCGGAGAGACAGATAAAGAGACAGAGGAGAGGAGAAAGAAGAGAGACAGAGGGGAGGGGGGGGGGAGAGAGGGAGGTCTCAGAGTGGCGCGCTTGTGCTCCCCGCAACAACGTCGCTCTCTCGATTCTCTCATTGACCTAGTTACCCAGTACACTTGACCGCACTCCGCGTCCCTCCCTCGCCCCCACACACGGTCACATCCCTTCTTCCACACCGCCGCCCTGCCCCTACTCTCTCTACCCTTCCTGAGTGGCGCGCCGCGCCGCCTCTGCACACGGGGAACCAAAGGTTCGCCCCTCTCCCCGCCGTCCCCTCTGGAGCCCTAAGCGGCTAGCGGCCGTCGGCGTCATCGTCACCGACGCCGTCACCAACGACGTTGTCCGTCGCCCTGCGCTCACCCTGGGCTTCACCCTTATTCCCGCGAACGACGGTCAGCTCTACTACCCCTGTTGGTCGCTCCCGTCCGTTGTGCCACGGACGAATCCACCCCTGTGAAACTAACGCGGCTTCTGGTTTGGTCGAGAAGGTTCTCCTTTGGTCATTGACGACTCGACTGCGGATTTTATACGTTTACGATAACTAATCTAAAGAACTAACGTATTAAACACGCGGTGTAGGTAAATATATGCGCACTTACGCGAAATGATGTAAGAATATTATTATTGTATTAATTGTGGAATATATATTCGATATGCATCGTGTATATTTTACGTATTAGGGGGACCAGAAAGTAATGTCGTTTCTTTTACATTAAATTCAAACAAGTAAATTCATAACAAGTTTTTATTTTCAGTCAATTATGTAATCGCTCTCGTTAATAGCAACCGTTTGCTATCTGGTGTGCAACTGTTCGATACCTAATCGATGAAAATCAATTGATACACAACCATCGGATAAATGATAAACAAATATTGACACTCGTAGAAACGACGTTACTTTCTGGTTCCCCTAATACGTTGAATGTATAATTGCGCGCCATAAATGCATAAAATCTGCAGTCTATTGATCGCCATTGTCGATGTACAGCAGGGTGGAAAGGTACGGCAGTAATTTCTGAATTTCCTGTACTTAATCATCTCCTGCTACGAATTTCGCCCAATGGTCCCTGTTAATGTAACTTCAGGACGAAGTTTGCGTACCTATCCAGTCCCAATCGTCAGTTACGAATTCTGTTCAATTGTCGCCGTTTAAGGTAACTTCGGGGTGAAGTTTAATCGCCTAATTATTAGGTTGTCCGAAAAGTTTCTTCCGTGACTTGTACTCAATTATTGGACTGTCCAGAATGTTTGTGCCAATTTTTAAAAAAACATTCGAAGACACGTTTGAATTTCGATATATATTTATCGAATTATACACGTACCATTCTGTTCCACAATTTTTCCACCTTTTAAGGGATGTCTACGTGTTATTTGTTTTCAACCATTCCGATATATTCGGACCTGTACCGCCTAGTGAAAATCGCCACGAACTTTCCAGACAACCCAATATGATCCTAACCGATTGATACGCTTCTGCCAAATGCTTCTTTTTATCTCTTTCTCTTTTCACTCTGTCCTTCTTTACGTTCGACGCTCGATTCGAGCCAAATGTAAACAGCATAGAAATGCGATGTTTGGGTCCCGATTTCTTTGCATTCATCCAGTCTTTACTGTAGACTATAAGTAGACTGTGGATCGCCAAGCACTCCAGACGTAGTCGCTACCTAGCTTTGTGTCGAGGGTCGCCTTCGCGTGGCGAGGAAAATTATTGGACGGGGATATGCAACATAAAGCGTTGCGACGCGAAGCGGCGGCGTAACGACACCAAAGGGGGCTGAAGAAAATATAGAACTCGGGAGAAGAAGCTACGAGAATGAGAGAGAGAGAGAGAGAGAGAGAGAGGGCACTCGCGGATGTAGACTCGTCGGGACCTGAATCTATTAGGTTGTCCTACTCGCTAGCACCCCCAGTGGTGGTAATTCTACAACGAAGTAGCAACGGGTCAAAATTGACCCACGTCAGACGGAAATGAATGTCTCGCGTGCCTCCGACGGGAGTGTTTCAAAAGGAAAGCGTCGGAGACAATGCTCCTCTCCACGGACCGGTTTCGTTCTCGTTGAAGGGCCGATCGCTTATTACGGGCGCTGGGAAACAGTTTTAAAGCTCGGAACCAGCGACTGTATGGTTACTAGACTGGAATTCCGCTCGTGCAGGGAACGCGGCCGGGTCTTACCGTCCAATTAATACACGGCGAATGGTAAGAAGCGCATTACGCACTCGCACTCTCGTGGGAGTGCGTGAGCCCGCCGGTGAAAAAAGAAAACGAATTATAATAATAATATACACGCGTAAAGGGGAGGCTACATTGCCGCATCCTTCGAAGAAGACTTCGATATTTTCTTCGTAACAAGCGATTTAACGCGCGGAACAAAACAGTGAT